ATGAAGTGGCACATAAGTGTGTTATCACTTATTAGTTGCTCTGTGATCCTTGTTTGTGCTGAAAGTAACGAGTGTCCTGATAGTAAGGCTGTTTGTCCTGAAGCCACCACTTGTTGCCAGTTGAATAACAACACGTTTGGTTGCTGCCCTGTTGAAAATGCAGTCTGCTGCAAGGATTCCATGCACTGTTGCCCTGTTGGATATTCCTGTGATATAGAGAAAGGTGTTTGTAAGCTGGAAGGCAAGTCTGTGCCTTTGTTGGAGAAGGTCCCTTCAACGCCAGTTTCTGTAAGTTACAGTGGTGTACCTCTGCATAGTGCGAGTGTGTTCCTCACTAAGCCAAAATTGTATCTACATGTAGCTGGTATTTAGGCTTACTTACAAACTTTCAACTGAGATTAACAGGCTGATTGAATACCTTCGCAGGGCCTTCGGTAAATAACAGCTTTTGTATTAATGTAAGGCCATTTGCTTTTCTTTTTATTTTCCTCATACTTGTGAGGTGTTCTGTTAATTACCCTGCTCCGTCCTCCCTTTGGTAAGTAAAACAGTAGTGTGACGGTGCCTGCCTTGGGTAGATGCCACTTATAGGGTTGTTATGGGTATGCCATACACTTAAACACTTGGCTGCAGTTCTTAGGGTTGGATCCACCAACTTCTTGGACACCTCGCTCTGCATTCATCTTTAGTTTGACAAAAAATTGAGTCAAAACATCAACGAATCACCCTGGTCTAGGTCACAAGTTATAAATTTGTCTGTTTAATGAAAAGGTACCTCCTTAGTGATTATGTTATTTCATGTCAAAGTAAGTATAAGTAGCAAAGTCAAATCCCTGAGAGGTAGCATTTCAAGGGGGATGGCCACTCCCTTAATGCAGACATGTCTTGAAGATGGACTCTAGAGTTAAAGTTTTGGCTTGGTCACCATTTGGCAACCAACTCTTTTGGTTTAAGGAGTCTTTCTACAAATCAAGTCACCAGTTGCAAAATTGTAGGCGCCATGGCGACCAAAATGGTCGCAACTTGGAGGGTTGTCCTGTGGTATCCATCTGTCTTGGAATTAGTCGCTAATCCTAGGGGTGTCTCATTCCCTTGCCCCCTACCCCTGATTTGTAATGTGAATATAGGGCCCTCCATAAAATTATGACATTGTGAAACTGATAATAATGGGAAGTTTTTTAATGGTGTTCAGTCAGTGCAGAAAGGTATTATTACAGCATGACTAGCTTACGAAAGATTAAGGGAATCATCTGACAGGAATATTACTACAGTGATTAAAAAAAAAACTGCTACTTTTGTTAGTTTTGAGGGAGAGATTCACAGGGAGTTCTTTTTCAAACCTGAGAGTTTCTCAGCAGGACCTGTGGTCTGTGTTACTGACGGTTTAAGTCACAGGAGTGACTATTACCAATATTGTTTCTCCTGCATGTTCATACATAATAATAATACTGAAACATAATCAACGTAAAAGGTATGAGAACTAATGAGGATTGCCTTGAGGAAATTTGATCAATAAAAAACAAATTACATTTACGGAGATCAGTCTGGAGAATTTGTTTGTGGAACATGATGTTTTCATGCGTGAAAATAACATGTTATCTCTCCGTGTGTGAAAGATCACCATTTCCAGGTGCGGATCTAGGATAAATACTGACCGATTTCCTACTTCTACGGAGGTCTGGGGCATGCTCCCCCGGGAATTTTTTTTGGATTTTAACTCCCCAAAGTCCCCTTTTCTGGGTTTCTGAGTCATTCAGACAGGAAATTTACTGACCGTACAAACCATTTTCCAGATTTTAACTTGGAAAGTTTAAAGTTTTTTTACTTTAAATATAGTTATAATGAAAAATCTGACCGATTTCTGTAAAACGGTGGAAACCGGTATGGATCCGCGCCTGATTTCTGTGGCTACATGATACAAAGTAAATTGTGCCTTTTGCAGCAGAAAGAAATATTCCAGTGAAATGGTTGGGCAGTTCAGTGGTGTTCATATAATGAAAAGAACATTACATGGCCACTCTGAGGTTCAAAATTTCTCTTCTCATGTGCAAGAATAATATTATTTCACTCATTCACTGCACTCACTCAAAAAAAAATTTTGAACACTCAAAATGAAATTTCCTATCTCCATGCAGCCTTGTTATATCCTCTTAACCTATTTTTTGTGTCATTTCGTTTTATTTCAGAATGAGGTTGTTCTATCAAGTGTGAGTGTTTGTCCTGGTGGTGAACATCAATGCCCCGTGGACCACTCCTGTTGTCCCATACTTGGCAGTAGTCATTTCCACTGTTGTCCTTCTGGATATTCTTGTGATCAGGGTGTTTGCCAAGAAGCAAAGCCAGAATTTCCTGCGGCGGTATTAAACAAATTCTCAGCCAAAGTTGTCAAATGTGACAAAAAGCTTGCTTGCCCAGACAGGTAATTTACTAGTACAGTGTAAATGTGGATACTGAGTTCAGTTTAAGGGCCAAGAGTGCATGCTCAAAGACAGTTAAAAATTACAAATATGATTGTTATAAATAAATAAATAAGACTTTAATGGCATTCACAATTACTGGTTAGCCCAGTATTATTGTTATTACAATAACATCAACCAGTACTGCTAATGACATGCGACAAAAATTGACTTTACACATGAATTTTTGAACTGTGGATAAAGATACGAACTTTGACACGGTTATATCATATCTTTATGGATTCCTTAGTTCAAAAGTATGATTAATTTTGACATGTCATTTCCACCAGTGTTATGAACTCACAATGGCATGGAACCCGTTTCTCGAAAGTCCCGTTAAATAACGGGCCCGGTGAGGTGTTGCCGTTTACATTAAAGATCGAGGTTTCAATAGTTTTGCAGCTAGCATGATAAAACTGTCAGTTAATGAAACAAAATGGAGTAGTTTGCTAGCCAGGACCCACGCTCTTCTTCTTTATATTTCGATTTGAACATTTGATTTCGGGCCCGAAAAGTTACCGGGACTTTTAAGAAACGGGCCCCTGGTCTCCAATAAGCTCGAGTAGCTCACTGGATAGAGCGTTACGGCCAGGGTTCAATTCCTGCTCAAGCCTGAATTTTTTCTTCTTTTTTTTTTTTCGTTTTCAGCCACCTAGGTTTTTCATTCAACTGCGAGGATCATGTTCACTTTCATAACAATTGACTTTCAACTTGTAAATTGACTTAACTTTTGATCAGTTCCAATTGATCCTTTCATCCCCCCAGCTCTCTGTAGCTATCCTGTCGTGCTTGAAATTCAACATTGCCTGGGTAAGAGGTGGAAATAACCTGTCTTACTATTATCTTTTGGAGTCCCAAGACTTTTGACATCCATTGTAGGACAAGGACAGGATCATTTGTATCACGATAACTGCTTCAAACTGTAGGGGAGGACCGGAGAATCATATTTGGGCGGGAACTGAAAGATTTCTGGGGGTGTACTGAAGGGAAGTATTAATCGGGGCGTGCCGCCAAGCTCTTCAAACTCTGACCCTGTTTGAGGCAAAATATATTCAGTTAAGTGAATACACCTTGTTTAAGACAAGAGACTATAATTTTTAGTGGCCTAAATATAACACCATGTTTTTTTTCTTCGTCTTTCTTCTCGTTGAGTTATTGTGTTTTAGCTTTTTCAGTTATAAACATGCGTATCTCACTGCGTTTGCGTGTGCATTGTTGGTTTGAACATGTTTTAAGCTTTCGTTTACTTTTACTTTTGCACCGCTAGTGCACCATTGCCACGGATCGATGCACTCTGTAGAGAACACGTGCCGTTAACTACAAATACAAACAATTGAGAATTTCCCGAAATCGGAATCGAAAATTTGAAGTTTAACATTGAAACAACAAAAATCACTCTCGTAACAGCACAGTAAAGCAGTACCCGAGAACAAATTTTCTTTGGTTGAAATTTCTAGGTGGCAACAGTCTGTGCCGTTAAGCTAATGCCTTTCTAGCTATACTACTATGTGTGTATGTGTTTATCTTGTATTACTGGGCTGCCCCTTTCAGGGCCGCACAGTTATAAATTCCGTTTTCGGTTGTCTGTGCAGAAAAACAGTCTCCCGGAGGAGGGAAGACATGAGGGTCTGGTACCGAGAACGATGTTTTCAGAAGTGGTTTCATACGATTTTCCCTCGCACGTACCCTTGCACGAATATTTTTGGTACCTCTCCTCCGCTCTCCCAGAAACACAGAAGGCGTTGCGAGTCAAGAAGGCTATTTGCGTTGTTCGAAGCGATTCGATCATAGGAGTCACTTAACGAGTTTTGTCATTGTTCGAGTTTAAGTCAGTTGATATGTTGGCGCTGGGAAACTCGGAGAAACCGCACGCCGTTCACGGTAGGCTCACACTAAAAGATGACTGTGAGCGTCAGTTTTGGAACGCAGGGGCCGTTTCGTGAACTCAAAGAGAGAACTATCGATCTTTGCAGTGCATGAGCAATTAATAAGCACAATTTATTGATGTCACCATTAGCGAGTTTCAAAAAAGCCTTGAAAATTTTTCAGCCCGCGTGATGTTCTTGGTACCATTTTATGGCGATGGGGACTGCTAAAGCCACCGCAAAAAGGAAATTAAAAAAAAGCCTATAGATCGATTTATCTCTAAACATAATACACATGACTTACACGGCCTTTACGTTCCTAAAGGTATTTTGAATTCGAACGAACACAGTAAATGTGAGGGGCAAAAACAGTATTAATATGAACTAGAAGTTCTCATTTGAGAAGGTAAGTGCTGCCGTTAGTTGCGTTGCGAATAGGACAAGGGCAGTATGTAGAACAGTTGAACATATGAATTTTTAAGTTAGACTTGTTGGAATTATGAAACACTCAGAGCGAAATATAAAAAATGAACCGATCACAATGACAAATATGCTTACATTCAGATAACTCATTTCAATATGATTTTGTAATTCATTTTAATAATTCACTAAATTCTTAAACAACAGCAGTGCTGATAGGCGGTTTCGTCATCGAATAATCATCGCACAATTAACGAGAAGAGTTGAGACCAAATAACGTAAAGGCCAAAACTTGTTTATTCACGGGTCAGGTAGACGTACAGCACATGCCGTTCACTTATTTAACTTACAATACTGATTCCCGAGATAACAGTCTGTGTGACAAAAGAATAATGTACTCGCTATAACTAATCTTGAAACCTAGAATAAAAAAAAATAAACCGGGAAAAAAAATGGTTCCGTACAATGCTTCTTGAACTGTTCTTACCGTTTAGGATGTTAAAAGGGCAGCAAACATCCGATGGACTACGATTTCTGGCGTCCTGATCTTATTTACGTACCGGGAACAAAACAAAATGGCGGGTTACTCCTAAGAGAAACACATGCGCGGCAGCTACGCACTTGCTTAAACAAACCGCTGACTGCTCAGCGCTGCAGTCACAGATTGATTGAACATCGAACCATTGAACCAAAAATCTCATATCGCTGAAGAATATGGTCTGCTGCCGGCTGATGCCCCGCAGCAATGAACCATAGGTTTTCATTAATGTAAGGGTCATGGAGCTAAGGAGGTATCGTGGCCGAGAGATCAGCGCATCGGACTCGCAATCCGGCGGTCCCGGGTTCAACTCCCGCTCCGGCCACTTGCTGGATTTTTTCTCGGTTTCCCGAGTCCAAATGTTTGACCACGCTTATAAATAACCAACTGGTTGCCTCCTGCCAGTTGGGGTTTTTAATCCTGTTATGTTATATTTGAATTATTTGTTTCTAAGTATCTGAGTGGAGTGCCTGTAAACTAGCTAAATAAGCTAAGTGCACTTTCCACTAAAAACAAGCCTTTAAACCTCCTTTTTATTGTGCATTGAGATGAATCGCTTACAAAGAGAGAGTTCGTGCACATGTGATCAGAAGTAAACAAGGGTACATGGTGCGTTTCGTTCAGTCTTTTTATTATCCAATGACTCTAAATGGTGTTTCCATATTGTTTAGCTTGCCCAGAACTTCGGAGGAGTTATAAAGCGGCATGATTTTCTTCCATGAATAAAAGTTTGAAGTCACGGTGAGACGAAAGGCAAACTCGAGCGAATTTTGAACTTTAATTAATTTAATTTAGTATCACAGTAAAAAATATGTTATCGATCGTTTCATCTATTTTTACATTGTTTAAAGTGCGTGCCGTTGAAAGCAACATAGGTCACAAATGCAAAAGATTTTATTATTTTAAGTTAGAGAAAAATACCAAGAGAAAAATCTTAAAACTGAATATATTTTATCTCATGGAAAAAATAATGCGTTTAACATGAAAACGGTTTTCATGTAGACTTTAGACCGCAAATTAGGATCGTGTCAGTGTAATCCAGGAGGCCTCTGGATTGGGATCAATGGGCAGTTGGCTGTCTGTTTTAGTAAACTACTCGTTTTCATACAATACAATATAGTGACTTCGCCTTTTGACGAGTCTCGTTAGTCATAATTTGTTGTTGGCATATTACCGGTTTGGGTCTAAAAGCTACATTACCGCCTTTTTTACACTTGGGTCTAAATGATATTACGGATAGAAGCTTTATTATGCTTGCGCTCAAAACGTTATTTCGGATGGGACCTTGTTACGCTTGGGTCCAAATTATATTACAGATGGGACCTTTATTACACTTGGGTCCAGTTATTACACTTGTGCCTTCTACAACTTCCATCAAACTGTTTATAAGCTGACTGAATTATTTTCACTTGCTAGGTACACCTGCTGTAAGGCAGACCAAGGGTACTTGTGTTGTCCATTAGAAGAAGCTGTGTGTTGCGCTGATCACAAACATTGCTGCCCTCGAGGATATACATGCTCCCCCGACGGGAAGGGTTGTTCATCAGGGGCTCACAGCATTCTGGCACTCTCCACAACACTGCCCACAACCTCTATAAAAGGCGTGAAAAGACTCCTGCAACTGATTACAAGGACATTTTCTGAGGAGCTTCAGTCTCGTACCTTTAGGCACCAAGTGAATAATGTCGTTTGTCCTGATGGTCAATCAGAGTGTGCAGATGACACCACATGCTGCAAACTGTCTTCAGGTCAGTGGGGTTGTTGTCCACTTCCCCAAGCTGTTTGCTGTAGTGATGGAGAGCATTGCTGCCCAAACGGATATACCTGTGATGTTGCAGAAGGAACGTGTACAAAAGGCGACAAGACTGCAATACCAATGTCGAAGAAGATCCCAGCATTGAAGAGAATAATCAAAGCGAATAATGTTGTTTGTCCTGATGGTCAATCAAAATGCCCAGATGGCATGACGTGTTGCAAATTGTCTTCAGGCCAGTGGGGTTGTTGTCCTCTTCCAAAAGCTGTTTGCTGTAGTGATGGAGTGCATTGCTGTCCAAACGGGTACACCTGTGATGTTGCAGAAGGAACGTGCACCAAAGGAGACACAACTTCTCTACCAGTTTCAATAAAGGTCCAAGCATTGAAAAGAATAATAAAATCGAATAGTGTCGTTTGTCCCGATGGTAAATCACAGTGCCCAGATGACAACACATGTTGCAAACTGTCTTCAGGCCAGTGGGGTTGTTGTCCTTTGCCAAGAGCTGTTTGTTGTAGTGATGGAGAGCACTGCTGTCCAAACGGATATACCTGTGATGTTGCAGAAGGAAAGTGTACCAAAGGAGACAAGACTAAAATACCAGAGTCAAAGAATATCCAAGCTTTAAAGAAAATAGTTAAAGCAAAAATTGTCGTTTGTCCTGATGGTCAATCAGAGTGTCCAGAGGGCAGCACGTGCTGCAAACTATCTTCCGGCCAGTGGGGTTGTTGCCCTCTTCCAGAAGCTGTTTGCTGTAGCGATGGAGTGCATTGCTGTCCAAACGGGTACACCTGTGATGTTACAGAAGGAACGTGTACTCAAGGAGACAAGACCGTAATACAATTGTCAAAAAAGATCCCAGCATTTAAGAGAATAACCAAAGGAAATAGTGTTGTTTGTCCTGATGGTCAATCAGAATGCCCAGATGGCATGACCTGTTGCAAATTGTCTTCTGGCCAGTGGGGTTGTTGCCCTTATCCAAAAGCTGTTTGCTGTAGCGATGGAGAGCATTGTTGTCCAAACGGATATACCTGTGATGTTGCAGAAGGAACGTGTACAAAAGGAGAGAAGACTGCTATACCAGTGTCGAAGAAGATCCCAGCATTGAAGAGAATAATCAAAGCGAATAATGTTGTTTGTCCTGATGGTCAATCACAATGCCCAGATGGCATGACCTGTTGCAAATTGCCTTCAGGCCAGTGGGGTTGTTGCCCTCTTCCAGAAGCTGTTTGCTGTAGCGATGGAGTGCATTGCTGTCCAAACGGGTACACCTGTGATGTTACAGAAGGAACGTGTACTCAAGGAGACAAGACCGTAATACAATTGTCAAAAAAGATCCCAGCATTTAAGAGAATAACCAAAGGAAATAGTGTTGTTTGTCCTGATGGTCAATCAGAATGCCCAGATGGCATGACCTGTTGCAAATTGTCTTCTGGCCAGTGGGGTTGTTGCCCTTATCCAAAAGCTGTTTGTTGTAGCGATGGAGAGCATTGTTGTCCAAACGGATATACCTGTGATGTTGCAGAAGGAAAGTGTACCAAAGGAGACAAGACTAAAATACCAGAGTCAAAGAATATCCAAGCACTTAAAAGAATAATCAAAGCGAATACCGTCGTTTGTCCTGATGGTCAATCAGAGTGTCCAAATGGCAACACATGTTGCAAACTATTCTCGGGCAGGTGGGGTTGTTGTCCTCTACCAAAAGCTGTTTGCTGTAGCGATGGAGAGCATTGTTGCCCAAACGGATATACCTGTGATGTTGAAGCTGGAACTTGTAATAAAGGAAGCAAGACGAGAATAGGAATGTTAACGAAGATTCCAGCAATTAAGAAAATAACAGTAGTGGATACTGTTATGTGCCCTGATGGTGAATCTCAGTGCCCAGATGACAACACATGTTGTAAACTATCTTCAGGCCAGTGGGGTTGTTGTCCTTTACCAAAAGCTGTATGCTGTAGCGATGGTGAGCATTGCTGTCCAAACGGGTACACCTGTGATGTTGCATTAGGAACTTGCACCAAAGGAGACAAAGATGTCACCGACCACCTAGTAGTTCAACCTTCAAAGAGAGTCAGTTATGACGTGAAAACTGTGTTTTGTAATGATGGTGAGACTGAGTGTCCTAACGGCTACACTTGCTGTAGGGATATTTCTGGGGGCTATTCCTGCTGTCATTTAGACCAAGCCGTATGTTGTAGCGACAAGGTGCACTGCTGCCCTATGGGATCTACATGTACCTCTAATGGTACGTGTCAGGAGAGTAGCAGTGGGCTTGTGCAAAAAATGATTACCTTGGTGAAATCACCAGCTCGACCAGTTTCCGACTCTTCAGGCTCCGTACTTTGTCCCGACAAAAAGCACGAATGTGCCAATGGAAGCACATGTTGCAAGCTGCATTCTGGATTGTATGGCTGTTGTCCAGTCTCGCACGCCGTTTGCTGTAGTGACGATAAACATTGCTGTCCTGGAGGATACACGTGTGATGTGGAGAAAGGTGAATTAAGCGTTCCTAGGAATAATAAAATGTTAATTTGTTTTTGTGAATGGTAACCTTGGTACCGGCACGTTTTACACGTGTACGGCGATCGAGTGCGGCGGAGTTCTCTCGGGGTCGGCCTTCGTGGCTCGAAGCCACAAAAAACAGAAGCCGCGCATGAAAAGTCTGTGGCACGCAGGGTAATAAGGGTTTCAATGCAACGGTCTTCGAAGCGGCGAAGAGAAGTCAATCGAGGTGGTCAGGTGGTCACACTACAGGATTTCATCCACATACACAAAAGTTAGAACTACATACTAAATAAATACAGTCACTGAACTCTCTCGTTAGGGACCACCCTCGGAGCAAGACAAAGTGGTCGCTCAAGGGAGGTGGTTTTCGAAGGGAAAAATCAAGAGAACAAGCTCAAACTGACCCGATAAACATAAGTTATTACCTTAAAAGCTAAAACTTAGCCAACTGGCAATAATCTTATACATCGAATAGCTCTTGACACCGTTCAAACCTCCGGGAGGTGGCCGCTTACGAGAAGTGTTCACTATGAGAGGGTAGACTGTATAACCATATGAAAGTGCTGCTGAAGAGATTTCACTTCAATGATCACACTATTGGATTTCACGCACAGACTCTTACGTTCATAATTAGATACTAAATTAATATGCAGTACTCAGGGTTGTCAAAACGTTTTCAAGTAGCAGGCTGATAATGATTAGTAGGCGGCTTTGGAACTCGCACCAAAGGCACAAGTTCTTGAGGGGCGAGGCATCTAGGGACATTTTGAAATTTAGAGTCTTAGAAATGGCATTTCCAGGGTTTTCAAGAGGTATTTTTCACCGGGGATGCTATGTTCTTTCGTCAGAATACACGCAAGACAGTGGGAGGGGGATTACATTTTCCTCTAAGCAAAACTCATTCAGGGTGGAGATGGTCAAAACACTGATCGTCGCTTCATTGATTCTAATCGGTTGCACAAAGGTAACATAAAAAACTTGCATGTTGTTTCAGTGACGTCTAATATTGTTCAGACTGCATTTAAAGGTTTTCTATCGCTTCCTACAATTGATGTCCACATGCAAAAAACTAGATGCGTTCACTTGGTCATACTTCACAGTTGCAAATCTCGTGCTACATTCAGAATTAACTAAATCTTTATGCATGCTTTGTTTCTTGTGTTGAAGGTACCTGCGACAGATATGGTGACCAAGTCAGCTTGTCAGAAATTATTCCATTTACCAGAGCCAGCACAGGTAACTTCATGTCAAGTCTGGTTTTCACACAATCGCCTCAACCCTATTTTCCCTTCCCAATTAGAGTTACAATAGCAGGGGACGGTTTGGGGATGTCTTTAAGAATCTATTGCCGATTAGGGTACAGGATAAACACGAAATATTTATTTAGCAGTTACGTTTCGGCTTTGCGCATTTGGTCGATTACCAGTCACATTGGTCATGTTCTGAAGGCTTCAGTCACAGCTTTTTTTTTTCTTCTTGGGCAATTTTTCGGTCATGATCGTTCCGCACACTTGTGGTTTACGTGGGAATCATTTGCACCAACCCTCAAGTTTTTGCCTTGTTAACCAATGTCTATTTATCGTTTTTGTTTGTTTGTTATTTTTCTGTCCTAACAGAAACTTACGTGGACTGTCCGGATGGCTCACAATGTCTGGATTATGAGACTTGTTGTATGATGGACACAGGCCACTATGGCTGCTGTCCGCTTCCAAAAGCTGTTTGCTGTAGTGACGAGGAACATTGCTGCCCTGAAGGATACAGGTGATCATACTATTGAATGTTAATTTATTTTACCTTGGCCCCTATACTTTCAAGGGAGAGTATGAGAGGTGGCTTTTTGCACAAGTGGGCGATTTATCGAAGACAACGCAATGTGAAATGAGGTCGCGAAAGCGCGCGGAAATTAATGCGGAACGCCACGTCCCGTTCTCAATTTGCTGTTCTATCATTGGTAATTTTTGATGACTCACGGGTAACGCATTTATCGCTTTGATTCAAAGTACTGTATATTTTTGTCGTGATAGCGAAGCACGCGCAGCGGAGCACCAAGGGGTAAAAAAATTTGGCTATCTATGCATCCAAGAAATTTTGGCTCTGAGAAAATCGTGCGTGCGTACGTCCACCCATTCATGTAAGCCGGGGATGAAATTTCGCATTTCAAGTACCCGCGCGTTTCGGCGGTAAATCGCGAAGCCACCCGGACTTTGAGAGAGAAAAACTACAACAACAACAAAGCCGCGCTNTTTTTGTTTGTTTGTTATTTTTCTGTCCTAACAGAAACTTACGTGGACTGTCCGGATGGCTCACAATGTCTGGATTATGAGACTTGTTGTATGATGGACACAGGCCACTATGGCTGCTGTCCGCTTCCAAAAGCTGTTTGCTGTAGTGACGAGGAACATTGCTGCCCTGAAGGATACAGGTGATCATACTATTGAATGTTAATTTATTTTACCTTGGCCCCTATACTTTCAAGGGAGAGTATGAGAGGTGGCTTTTTGCACAAGTGGGCGATTTATCGAAGACAACGCAATGTGAAATGAGGTCGCGAAAGCGCGCGGAAATTAATGCGGAACGCCACGTCCCGTTCTCAATTTGCTGTTCTATCATTGGTAATTTTTGATGACTCACGGGTAACGCATTTATCGCTTTGATTCAAAGTACTGTATATTTTTGTCGTGATAGCGAAGCACGCGCAGCGGAGCACCAAGGGGTAAAAAAATTTGGCTATCTATGCATCCAAGAAATTTTGGCTCTGAGAAAATCGTGCGTGCGTACGTCCACCCATTCATGTAAGCCGGGGATGAAATTTCGCATTTCAAGTACCCGCGCGTTTCGGCGGTAAATCGCGAAGCCACCCGGACTTTGAGAGAGAAAAACTACAACAACAACAAAGCCGCGCTTCTCTTTCGACTAAATTATAGTGTCTACATTGACGTGGACAACAGAAAAAGAGCTAAAGCGAAAGATAAAGAACGAAGGTGACCAATTTCGTTGGAGAAAAAAACTTGTAAATTTTATAGCGGTGGTGAGAAAACGAGAAATGCTAGCGGTCACCGAGGTGAAAGTGAGCGGCAGTGAAAAAAAAAAAAAGAAAAGCGAACAGGAACACATGCGATATCTCCTCCATAAAACGTGTAACAAGGAAGTTTCTGGAAGTTTCACGATGTAGTCGTGCAAAACAAAGGCAAAGAAATATACAAAAAAGTGTGCTGCAAGTGCAAAGTTATTTTTTGCTAATTACATGCACCTATCGATATTTTAACCGTTTTCGTTGCCGTCGCCGCTTTGCATTACACGATTTTATATTTTGTTTGAGTAAACTATAAATATTAACGAGAGCTTTGCTCTTAGCCCTGGCTAAATCTATATATTAGAGAAGCGGAATGGATTCTGGGATCGCATTCGGAGTGCCCTAGCATAAGCAAAGACGTTTTGAGCGACTCACGTCAACCGGAAGTGGACATTTTGAATTATCAGCCAGTGGTTTTGCCCACATGTTTGGTCAAATACGCCGTATAAAAGTAAAGTTTCTAATTAAAGGAGCTGTGTCACGAAATTCAGCCAAATTAGGATGTTACAAAATGCCTCGTTAAATTAAGAGAAACACAAAAATAACCGCTTAAAACTTTAAAGGAAGGTTAAATTAACATAACAGAAACAACAGATGCCGCGGATGGGCAAAACGGAAGAAGATTAAAACGGATTGAAGTAGGATTTTTGAAAACTGTTCCGCCTAACAGTTTTTCAAAGTTGATCCCTGCTGCTTGCAACTTTAAAAATAAGGCTCAGGAGACATATTTGTTTGTCTAGGATCTCTGATTTTGTCATTTACATGTAATTTCTTTGCTTGCTTTAAGTTCCTTAGAAATTGAGGGCGAGCAATTGGCAAAATTAAACAAAATGAACTGGACTGCCGTGACACAGCCCCTTTAATACCTATTTGGTAGCACTAAGGCATATTAAAATGGAACAGGCCTCATTTCAGGTTGAAGTGCATCGCCCAAAAACGTCTTTACTGTCTTAATCTCCCTTTTGTTTTTCTAAGATGGCGGAGCGGCTAAAACAATGAAGTTTTTGATATTTTTTTAACTGAGCTGCTTTGTAGTTAGCTCTCACCTAATAGAAGCAGCAGAAGTAGCAAAAAAACGGTTAATTAATAAAGATTTGTTTCTTGTGGCAAATTCACTTAGCTTATCCTGCTAGTTTACTGGCACCCCATTCAAACTGGACGCTAATAATACGCATAGAACATACTGATAGAAATAAAAACCCCAGCTGGCTGGCGGAAACCCATTCGGCTTTTTACGAGCGCGGCCGAGGATGAACTGGGGACGACCGAGAACAAATCAGGCAAGAGGCCAGAGGGGGACTCGAACCCAGGATCGCATGATTGCGAGTCCGACGCGTTGACCACTCCGCCACACTGCCTCCTATTGTACAGTAGTAGCAGTAGACGTAGTGGTAGCAGTAATGAACGGGCTCTTTCTAACTGCTGACTTTTTAATGCAGATGTGACTTGAGCTCGGAAACTTGCGTAGCTGGAGATGTTCGCATTCCGATGCTGATAAAGACAACCGCAGCTCGCCGGCATCAAAATACCCAAAAGCTGAACAACTTGGACGAGAAGATTCGCTTTATCCCCGGACCCCCTGTTCGAGGAAACCCTTAAAGATCCTCAGATGGACGGACTATTGTTGATGAGACAAACGGAACTGGACTACTCTTCTGCTACTCGTGTGCTTTTTCAACCTGTGGGTTAGAGAATTCAGATTTAGACTTCGTTAGGACACACCGCGCCAATAATTCTAGCGAATTGTTGTCCATTTACAAAGTTTTCGGTTCATGGCTTTGTTTATACGTAAGCTCCTTAAACGACTATCGCAAAGTCTCTTAAAAGTCCACTTAACGAATAAATAGCGTTCTTATTGGGAAGTTAACGCGTTCATTAACCTAACTCTTTCAAGCTTCTAACAGTAGCCAAAAAAATTCACCGAAAACTCCGTTTTAGTTTTGCAAAAGCTCGCTAAATTAATAGTGTTACGAAAAAGGACTGTCCAAGGGATTTCGTTTGAATGGTAACTCTATAGGATTTCTTCTTCAGTTTTAAAAATTAGCCTGATAGATGATCTCACCATAACCTTGTCAGGACTTTAACAGAACTTTGCCGGCTTACACACCGTATTTTCCCTACCTGTTTAAGCGCTTTCGTTTATCTTAAACCGTTCTGTGATACCTCTTCATTTCTTATCGCTGTGAAAGTTATTTCAAGCCATTTCAGAGGCTGTGAATGATGTGAAATCTAAAAGGTGCAGTATCATTCTACCCAGCTAAAAAATCCAGTATGTTTAGAGCCCTCTTTTGGAGAAAATACGTTTCTTAGTGTGCTTTAAGCTCTACTGGCCGTTTTCACACTAGAGATGGATTATCCTTCTAAGACGGATTATCCATCGTCAAAATCCGTCAAAATTGACGGAAAACGGATGGATAAAGCCAGGCGGATTGTCCATCCAAAATTAAGTCCGTTTCATTTTCAAATTAAGACGTATTGTGTATATGACACGAATTATCCAACGGATAATCCGGCTCTAGTGTGAGAAACGGCCATTCATACGAAGAAAACGTGTTTAGTCAAATGAGGTTAAAGAAAGTGAAAATCAATGAAAGAGTCTAAACTAAAGGAGTGGCTTTTACTCATAGTTCAAAGAAATTTCACCTTTGCTTTCATTTGCGCCAAGTTTGTAGTTGACAAAAATCATAAAGAAGCTTTTTGAAGGAAACGAACTTAAACCGTGGTTAAGTAAAAAACTTTTGAGTATGTTTAGGCTTTAGTGTTAATGGAGCATAATTATCACTACCTTTTTTTATATATCGTAGCTTAATGTCTTCATGAAATATATATTTTGCTTATAAAACTTTTTTGAAATGAAAATGAGTTCGCTCGGCGAGGATTTCCATTCTGTGACTTACGGAGCACTAACATGTATTTTGTTGTAACAAGGGTCTCTTTTCAGTGTCATCGACCAAGTTTCAATAAGCAATTTCACGTTTTATTTACTTTTCTGTTAGTAATACCATTATTGTTATTTTTTTTTGTTCGTTTTCTACATCTCTTTTATACCTCTTTTCTACGCCTCTCGTTTATTTGCCTCGTTACAACCTTTCGAACCACCACCAAACGCAGCAAGTGCCCTGATCGTTAAAAACAAAATGGATTTATTACATTCAAAATCTTGGCACATTTGAAACCCCATTTACACGTGCTAAAAAATCAGCACGGCACGCCAAATTTTTGGCACCGTTCCTCGTTTACGCGTGCCGAGACTACCTCCAAGAGCTAGTCTCGGCACTCCTAAACTTTTGAGCACTGGTGCCACATTACTTTTGGGACCGATACGTTTACACGTCGAAAATTGGGAGTGCCGCGCCCTAAAATCGTCAGCACGGTGCCAAAAATTTGGCGTGCCGTGCCGATTTTTTTAGCGCGTGTAAATGGGGTTTGAGTCGCTGGTTTATGCGCAACTATAGTAGAAGATGCTCTTCAGGAAATCCAGAGGCTCAAGCCTATTTCTATTGTTTTTTTTCTTTTCCCCTGTTCTGGAATTGTGGCTATGTTCTAACGAACGTTTTTCGATTGTTAAGGGTCTGTTGAAATTGACTTAGTATTCATTTGATACTTTTTTTTTTGCTCTAGATAAAATCTAGCTAGTTATTCTAATACAACATTTTTTCTAGTAATGATAATTTTTTTAATAAATGCAGTTTTTTTCAAATTGAAGTTGTCTTCTCTTATTTTTGTTGGTGCTAGAGGGGTTAGTAAGCAAATAAAATTTAGTACAGGGGAACCTCGCCTTACGGCCTCCCCGGTAATACGGTCACCCCTTTTTTGAGCGCCGGGCAGAACGGCCATATATTTTCTTGTCAAAAAACTCCTTCCACCGTACTGCAATTTGTAGTTTTAAAAAACGCTGTGGGTACTTTATAAGGTAAGGAGGTGGTTGCCTCTTGTTGATGTTTTTTTGTTGTTTGTCGTTGTTGTTGTTGTTTGTTCGTTTATTGGATTTTCCTGCTCCTTAAGACCATCCTACCTGGTAACTTCAACAACTTTTAAAGACGGAATCCACCGGGAAATTGATTAATTTTATTTTTCAGTGGACAAAAACCTTGTACCAGAATAATTTAAAGAATATTGCATTCTTATTTGCATTTTCAAGGGCTAAACATGTAATTAGTCATCTGTAGTAAAACTAAAGCAAATTTCCTTTGAGTGCCCTAGAAAACGAATGTCAAATTTCACAAAATTACACCTTACATATGAATTTTTAGAAGTTTACCCTTGTTTTCACAATTGTTGTGAAATTCGACATTAATTTTCTCAGGCTTCCGTAAGAAATTTTCTTTGGTGTTACTACAGAAGATTAATTACATCTTTAGCCCTTGAAAAATGTAAAAAAATAATGCTTTTAATTATTCTGGTACAAGGTTTTTGTCCAGTCAAAATATTAAAATTACTCGGTTTCCTGGTGAATTCCGTGTTAAGTACTTTGGATAAGAGTTTTTCGTCTTTACCTCCTTAAAAACCTTTTAAGACTGTCGAGATGGCAACCGATTAGGAACCGTCCTCACGATTTACTATTAACGAATATAAACAAAATCAGACGACAAAGAAATAGTGTCGCCAAAATAGTAGGATGATGCGACTTTAAGATCTTACTTCCTCCCAAGTTCACTACCTCTATCTGTCCGTTGCAGTCAGTGCCTCATATTTCACCGCCATGAAGAATGTAAGTGTGCCAAATAGCTTTATCGTTTAATAATTTGATATTTTCCCTAAACTGGCTTCAAATCAGTCTTTTCTTCACTGATAGAGGGCCTGGAGTGCAACTTGTTTTAGCTCCTGCTTAGCGAGATTAAAGTTTCCAAACGGGTTCGGTATTAGTGGAGATAATTGTACGATTTGACGTTTTCTTATTTCTTGGCACCATCACGGGGCACCATTTACTAAAAGTAGTTGAATAAAGATTTGTCACGGTTAAACGGGTATGTGCCGCTGAACATGATATTGTTTTCAGGGTCTTAGATTTGAATGGGGTATACAATTTCACTAAGTAGCGTCTTAAATAGGATGCTTTTTGGACCAGAAACCTTTTAAAGGGTGTGAAGGTTGTTGATGACTGGTCTAAATGTGTGTGGTAATAACCTTTTTCAATCGACAAAAATCTAATTCTGTTAAGTTAGTTTCCTAAAATTAATAACTTAATTTGGTATGCGCCCGAAACGAAACGAATAAGGATTATGAAACTGGGTCTTTTAGTTAATTATTATTTGTAGCTACTTTATTTTCCTACTTAAAGTACACTTATGTAAATATCTTACATAGTGTAAATAAATAATTGAATTGAATTGAATTGTCTCTCGTCTTGAACAGGGTAGCGAAATAGACGATTTTTGTCTCAAACAGGATCTTGAAGGCCTCGGCTGCGCTTCTCTTCCCAAACTACCCTTGCCCCACCCACCCCCCGGGGGGGGGGGGATCGGGAAAAAAAAGTAAGCTGTTATCAGTGTTTGACCTAATTCAAAGTTCCGGCCTCGGCAACTGCTCCTGAAGGTTTTGCTGCAAAGTTCAGCTAGATTTTTCCTAGCATGAGTTTTAATTTCTCTAAGCAATATCCGTATGTCACTAAGGGAAAAGCTACATGGTTATGGGAATTATGAAAATGATCACCCAAAGAGAAATAGCTTTGATTTTTTTATCAAATTCTCTCAGCTTATTGAAAATGTATCGGAAAAGGATTGAGAGAGTAAGAAATTAGCAGGGCTCCTGGCCTGACCTGGCTCAACAGTTGAATAGCGCGACGGCACTGGTAAATCACTATCTAGAGGATAAGTACTGAGGAAACCAATTGTGTTTTCACAAATGCAATAATAAAGGGATTATCCTGTTGATAGCGTATCTAAGTGGTCTAAGTGGGTGCTCAATTTTCTGACAAATGGACTCTTTGGTATAGATTTCATGACGTGTGATCCAATTCCTAAACCGCTGATCAATGCTACATTTGTTTATAGGCTCAAACAAAAACAATATGGCGGATGGAAGATGGTTATGGTTTGTTGCTGTTTTTATCCGTTTCTGTTGGGTTTGCATCCCACAAAGGGGCTATATTTACCCTGATGAGTTCTTTCAAGCTACAGAAATCACTGCTGGAGATGTTATGGGATTTAAACACACGAGAACGTGGGAGTGGCTCGAAAATTTTCCCGTGCGTTCTCCAGTCTTTCCCTATATCTTCACGAGCATTCCCTTTTACATCGTAAAGATGGTTGTAGCTGCCGGAAATATCACCTCAAGAACTCTTATTGTAGCTCCAAGACTTTTTATGACGGTCGCATCTCTTTTCATCGATTACACAGTTTATAAAATTTGTCAACATCTCAGTACGGACCCAACTCCTTCACTTTGCCTGTTTAGCACGTCTTTCGTGACGCTGGTATTCTATACGCGGACATTTTCTAACAGCGCGGAAGCTGTCGTATTTGCAGCCTTGCTGCTGCTGGTTATTTCTTCCGTTTCAAACAGGAACATTTTCCGATCAGGAAGGGACCGCGTGCGGACCTTGTTGATGGGGTTGCTTCTGACTGTAGGATTTTGGATCCGTCCAACATTTTTGGCCTTTGCTTTTACACCCTTACTTTGGTGGGTCATTGATATTTTCACCTTTAACTGGTCAATTGAAGCAAAGACCTTTACTGCGGTAAAAGAGGTTTTAAAACAGTGCACTTTAGTTGGTCTTGGTAGTTTTCTGATGCTTACTATATTGACCTTAGTTGATTCTTTCTACTTTGGGTACTTACAGAAAAAAGAAATTGTTCTTACTGCACTCAACTTTATCTTATACAACCTAGACACAGGTAGGGTAAAAGATCATGGTCTTCATCCAAGGATAACGCACTTTGCTGTAAACCTGCCATTGTTGTTTGGACCTATGGCATTTGCTTTCTACATGATGATTGCCCATACTGTGCTTAAAAGGAAGTTTGCAGACTACCTTAAAGTTTTATTAAGCAGAAGAAACCCTAGCAAGAGTAACGGCGTACTTGTTGACTATAAAACACTTTTTATCTGGAGCTTGCTGCTGTGCAGTATTGTCGTTTCTATAGCATTGTTGTCATGGATACCTCACCAAGAACCACGGTTTATCACTCCAGTTCTCCTTCCATTGGTCATACTCTTTTCATGGTGTTTGACGGCATCTTCCTTTGCACCCCTGATAATGCTTTCTTGGATTATCTGGAATATAATTGGCTGTATTATGTTTGGAATACTGCATCAAGGGGGAGTTTATCCATCCATGGCACATCTTCAACAGTATCTTCAGAATGCAAGGAGTCAGCAAAACTCTGCTGTAGCATATCAAGTGACTTTTTATCATACTTACATTCCTCCTCAGCATCTTTTAGCCTGGCCAATGTCTCGTGAACACGAAGGGGACTCACTTCACAGCTTAATGGTTCTTGATTTAAAAGGAAGCTCAAAGGATACTCTGGTGAAACATTTGGAAAAGCTTATCCATGAGGAGGCTAAAATGCATGGAAAAAAATTTGAGGTAAGATAGTCTCTCATAGGAGACTAAAAGTAATGATTGGGGGTGAATACAGAAGTGATTGTGAGGTTGAGTAATCAAATCCCAGGGTTTTTTTTTTATGTATTGGTTTCAGTTTGGAGAGGGACTTAAACCTGGGTATCACCGTTGTGGATCTGTTGCACTCAAAGGTTGGCACATATTATGCAACAAGTTGCATAAACACAACCCAGCAACAAATCACTTTTTGTGCTGGAGAATTTTTGCAAGAATTTTGTAGCCCTGACAAGTCGCATAAAATCAAATCAGTTTCAATTTGTGAAGCTTGTTGCAACATGTTACCATTATGACGCATTAGTGCGATGTGTCACCCAGTGTGTGCTGACCATAACAGTCATCCCAACTACATCTCCTGCATCACTGGGCAATTCCAGAAAATATCCATACTATACCACGGGCGGCTTTTCAAATTCCAAGGGCAATGGGGGGCTCTTTGAACTGGAAATCGAAAGGCATGGGGAGATACATTGTACTTATGATTGGAATTCCAAAGTCATGGGGGGTTTAGGTCTGGAATTTCCACAGGAGACAGACAAGAGTGTATTCCTTGAATACACTTAATATGTTATTTACTTAATCAGTTCACAAAAAAGCATGAACTGGTAACACAAGATACATTAGCAACGTCCGTCAATCATGCATGTTTTGAATTCATGTTTATTTGTAGAAGAAATCGGAGAAACTGACAAAATGTGGGTTGAACGTCATGCTCCAGAGGCCTTCATGCCACACGACGTCACTTTAGGGACTTAAAGCAGCCACTGGAGGCAGTTTAGAAGAGGCCAGAAGTAGCCACGAAGGAATGGGTTGAGGCTGCCACCATTTGTCACAAATTTAGAAAGTTAAGCTGCATAGCAGATGCGGGTGCCAAATTGTTTTGGTTTGTTTTTGTTTTTGTAGCTCAGTTTGACTTTATAGATGTTTGTCTCAGTTTTAACAAAACTTAATGGCAACCTTTCAAGAAGTCAGAGACCTCTTAGCTGTGGCAGCTTCAAAGATATCATAGATGAGGTCAAGATTGAATTTCTTTTACTCTACGATTTGAACACCTCCAAAAATCTTGATTAATGATTTTGAACCTTACAATGATTACAGACGATGTATGTCCGAGTTGATTTTTTCGAGATGGATGCTATAAAGACTCACAAATAACATTATCACAATATATTTCTACACAAAGGAGTCATTTACCTTAAGTCGGTTTCGATTCAGGGAAAACATGAAATTTAACTCACCCACTTTGTTTACATGTCTCTTGATCTCCCGCTTCAGCTGCCACTACGTTTTAACTTATACAGCTGTTTACAGTTGTAAAATAAAAATTAGTCAAATATTTGCCATTGAAATGCAAAAGTGATGGCTAATGAACACTTATTTGGCTAAATGAGGAAAATTCTTCGCATTTAAAATAGCAAAACTTGAAGGATAAGCTGCCATCTGTCGAGGCAATCAAACCATCCTTTTTTGCCTGATGCTACCTGAGGTCGATGCGGAGTGAACATCAAGCAAATATGCTGATTAGCTCAAAGATGTGAAATTTTCCTTCTGGTTGGCCTCCTCTGTGCCACCTCCAGTTGTTGCTTAAGGTCTCTTTATCTCTCATCAAAACAGCTTCATAAATTATTTTGTGCATTCAGTGTGAAACATGGTCTTTTCACCAAGGATGCCATTTTATCTTTTGAAGCTTGAGTGATTGGGAGCAGGTGCTGACCCCGAAGGCTCAATTTCATGATAGCTAAATGAAAAAGCTCTTGATCGTGCTCTTGATCGTACTATCTTCCAAGTGTACACACGTTCATGGCAAGATATTCTTATTTTTATCTTTTGTACCAGTTTGGGGTAATGTAAAGTTTATATATCTGTTGAACAGCTTTAACAAAGAAACTTTATTATTATTATTATTGTTATTTGATTCCAGAATGTGTGGAGTTATAATGACCTGCAAAGACTCCCGCTGTAATCAACTCCACTGAACAGAAGTAGAGTCATTTGAAATAATTTTGCATCAAATCAGAGCCAAACTGGGCATAATTGTGAACCCTGTTCGTTATTCAGGAGGATTTAAAGAAAAAATGGAAAATCCGAGCGGAAGGGGAGGTGACAATTTTGGAATTCCAAGGGCCGGGGGTGGGGGGAGGGGGGAAGATAAAATATGGAAGCCGTCCATGGTATGGCATGGATATTTCCTGGAATTCCAAATTCCCAGTGGCTCACTTTTTTCCATAGACTGTGTTGGAATAAAATGCTGTATCTCTACACATCATTAGCGTAACTAAATGTAATTATAGCTACATGTACAACAAACAGTAAATATGTTGTCAGCAAGGTGCAAACAAGGATTCAATTATTCCTTGCACTTCTTTAACTGTTTTGTTTTGTTTGTTTGTTTGTCTTTTCTTACCATCAACTCTGTGTCATCTGCCCTTTAACTATACAGTTTAACTATCCAAACAGGGTCTGGAAGGGTATTTTTACATCCATTCACATTATCAACAGGTCCTATTCTTTCTCGCATTTTCTAGACTGACTTTTCCTTTTTATGTCTTTCCCAACAGCTCTTTGTTATCTGCCCTTCAACAGTCAAGTTCAACCATTCAAACTTTAAATTGTTGAAACAGTTTTACCCCCACTTGAGCATGGAGGACCCCCCTGACTTGATGTCTCTTTTCAAAGCAGACCCCGAAGAAACTTGGACTTGTATGAGCGGTAAACAGGGGGGAGAGTACTTGGATCCAACATTAAGTACTGAGCACTGTGCAAGGAGAATCAAAGAGACCTTGAAAAATGGATGGAGAGTTCCTGGTTGGAGGGATGTTACTAACTGGATTTATTCAGAGCTTTCTCTTAATTTGTATCAGTATGTACAGAACAACAGTTACTCATAAGTTAACTTGTAGCCGTTTTGAGATACACAAAACTAAACAAAATATGTCAACTGTCAAATATATTTTTACACAACGTACCTAATGTACCTAATGTAAGTGCAGGTACGAATGAAGTCACAGAAAAGTTGCTTTTCTTTAAATCATACTTTGCAGCGTGTTAAAGTGCATGCGACATAATTCCTTGTTGAGAAAGTAAAGAACGCAATAAAANATTATCACCAGGTCCTATTCTTTCTCGCATTTTCTAGACTGACTTTTCCTTTTTATGTCTTTCCCAACAGCTCTTTGTTATCTGCCCTTCAACAGTCAAGTTCAACCATTCAAACTTTAAATTGTTGAAACAGTTTTACCCCCACTTGAGCATGGAGGACCCCCCTGACTTGATGTCTCTTTTCAAAGCAGACCCCGAAGAAACTTGGACTTGTATGAGCGGTAAACAGGGGGGAGAGTACTTGGATCCAACATTAAGTACTGAGCACTGTGCAAGGAGAATCAAAGAGACCTTGAAAAATGGATGGAGAGTTCCTGGTTGGAGGGATGTTACTAACTGGATTTATTCAGAGCTTTCTCTTAATTTGTATCAGTATGTACAGAACAACAGTTACTCATAAGTTAACTTGTAGCCGTTTTGAGATACACAAAACTAAACAAAATATGTCAACTGTCAAATATATTTTTACACAACGTACCTAATGTACCTAATGTAAGTGCAGGTACGAATGAAGTCACAGAAAAGTTGCTTTTCTTTAAATCATACTTTGCAGCGTGTTAAAGTGCATGCGACATAATTCCTTGTTGAGAAAGTAAAGAACGCAATAAAAAAGTAAATAAAAAAAGTGCAGAGGAAAGTATTCACATAAAGTGAGGAAAAGGAAAAAAACTGAACCGAAAGTTAACTTTTGTGACTTGGAAGAACAAGTGCCAAATGCTACACGCGCCGTTATTGGCTGTCTTTTCATTTTCAGTAGAAATCAACCAGCATTGTATCACGAATTCTGCAATTTGATTGGCTAACGCTCGTATGCACGTGATCAATTGTAGCGAGCCGGCGTTTTGAACAAAAACAAAGAAATGGCAACCTCTTGAAAGTATCCTTTCTGTTTTTGAGGAATAAAATAGAATTAATGATGCTTCAACCCCAAATAACATTTCTTTGTACATTTCTTTGCCGCCTCAGCAGTTTCAGTTTTTTTCAACAACTTAAAAAGCTGTAGAAAAGATTTAGATTTAGAAAAGATACATAGCGTGAACCATTTGTTACTAAGGTAAGTGCTGTGATTGACAATTTAGCACTACAATTAAGAAATCAATTAAACAGACGCATATATAGAAATGAAACTCTTAAGTAAGAAGTCAAAGAATTCTGATCTCCAGATAGCTGTGCAGTTCATCCGTAAAGCAGAAAGAAACGGAGCAGTGCCAGCTGTAAGTGCTAAGCATAATAATATAGATTTAGCCAAGCCTAAAAGCGAAGATTCGGTTTCTGTATAATCTAATTTCTTAGTTACAACAATGAACTTAAAACCAAACAGCTTTAACACATTGCAAAGAAATACAGAAATTTCTACTTAACTTTAGTAGGGAAAAGCTGGATGATGTACATTCACAGAAAAAAAAATAGATAAATGATTAAGATAGGGGAACCGCCTTCAATTATTCTTTGTGGGATAGAGCTCCTTTCTATAATATAAGGCTTTCTATAATTCTCGCTTTCTCTCCTTTCAACAATAAATGTTTACAAGATTTATGTATGGAGTTGAGCAGAAATATTGCCACTTTTACACTTCGACATTAAGTTCTTCAAATGTTCTTGCAAAAAGTTTAAACCAATTATCGATAGATCGACNAAATAGAATTAATGATGCTTCAACCCCAAATAACATTTCTTTGTACATTTCTTTGCCGCCTCAGCAGTTTCAGTTTTTTTCAACAACTTAAAAAGCTGTAGAAAAGATTTAGATTTAGAAAAGATACATAGCGTGAACCATTTGTTACTAAGGTAAGTGCTGTGATTGACAATTTAGCACTACAATTAAGAAATCAATTAAACAGACGCATATATAGAAATGAAACTCTTAAGTAAGAAGTCAAAGAATTCTGATCTCCAGATAGCTGTGCAGTTCATCCGTAAAGCAGAAAGAAACGGAGCAGTGCCAGCTGTAAGTGCTAAGCATAATAATATAGATTTAGCCAAGCCTAAAAGCGAAGATTCGGTTTCTGTATAATCTAATTTCTTAGTTACAACAATGAACTTAAAACCAAACAGCTTTAACACATTGCAAAGAAATACAGAAATTTCTACTTAACTTTAGTAGGGAAAAGCTGGATGATGTACATTCACAGAAAAAAAAATAGATAAATGATTAAGATAGGGGAACCGCCTTCAATTATTCTTTGTGGGATAGAGCTCCTTTCTATAATATAAGGCTTTCTATAATTCTCGCTTTCTCTCCTTTCAACAATAAATGTTTACAAGATTTATGTATGGAGTTGAGCAGAAATATTGCCACTTTTACACTTCGACATTAAGTTCTTCAAATGTTCTTGCAAAAAGTTTAAACCAATTATCGATAGATCGACTCGTTGAAGTTGTCTCTTCATTCAAAAACACGGTATTTGGGACACCATTTGAGGGCAACCATCATCTTAGGGACTGTTTACATGGAGGTGGGGACCCCAGGTCAGGTGAGGTAACCTGCTTAGGTGGGGTAACTTGCCTGTTCATATAATTTTCCTTTTAACTTGATCACTTTTACATGATTGAGGGGGTTACCCGCCTCGGGTTACCTCAACTACCTGGTGTCCGCTAGCCTGCGAACGACAGACGTTTCTCCTCGCTCATCGACGCTGAGGGACGTTTCGCGAGGAGGAACGTCTGCGACTCAGCTACAGAAATTCCATACTGATGACGTAAATCAATGTTTACATAAATAAACCCGGTAGTCATGGGGTTCCAAATGCAAATTTGTTCAATTTTACGTTTCTCCTGGTCGATTTTGGTGAAGTGTTGTGTTCATCTGCGAATGAGCTGGAGCAAAACTCAAATGCTACTTTTAGAGAAGACTATATTCCACAAATATTGACTGTTTTGTAAGAGATTCATCGCGTTTACATTTGACCTTTGCGGCCTTTTGTATTTTGTCTGTCACTTGTAAACAATAGCTAAAACAATGAATCTACTCCGTGGACCGTCTGACCGGATTCCGGACAGATTTTGCGTCATCAGTATGGAATTTCTGTCGATGAGTCGTAGACGTTCCTCCTCGCGAAACGTACCTCAGCGGCGATGAGCGAGGAGAAACGTCTGCCGTTCGCAGGCTAGGTGTCCTCCACCTCTATGTAAACAGGTCCGTAGCGAAAATCCGCGCCGCAAGGTGAACCAGTGGCAGCAATTTATCCTTCTCTGACGTGTCAAATAGTTTACTTCTCCTACCCCCCCTCCCCAGAAAACCACCAAATATATACTGTACAACGTCACTGCCAAATATTGGGTATCACTTTTACCAAAATATGGGCGAACGAGGAGGGGTATAAAGAAGATGACAAATCTTCCTAACATTGCGCAGCTCTATGAACTGCCACCGATCCAGCCTTGCCTCTTGGTACGGCCGCCTCGCGGCAATCAAATTCGATTACAGAAAAAGGCTTGGAAAAGAATTCTTGCCGGCCCTACGTCACCGATTTATTATTGCAAAATGAAAGATGCAAGGTACATCATTAAAAACGCTAATATATGACTCAGTATTATTAACGTTCGTTTTATTAAAGTAACGCCTGTTGGGCAGGATAGAATAATTGGTGTTGAAAGTGACAACTATTGGTTTCTGTTCATTTCAACTTTGTTATGACAAATAATAAAAAAAAGAGGTGTGGCCCCCTACCTTAAGATTTTGTACGGACAGGCGGATGGTCCCGTGCGCTTTTCTAGCAAAGGAGGCTCCGCTATAAGACAGCCTTTTTTTCTTGTGCTCGATACCCGCTATTTTCTGTCTCAGCAGACTGCAGACATAGACCTCACAGTTTCCGGTGGTGTTACTCGCTTTTCGCAAGATGAAGTTCTACATTGCTGCTTTCACGTTACTCGTTTTTTGCCGTGGGTTCTCATTTAAGGTACCCGGCCATGAAACAAAACCCTCGGGGGTGTCATGGAATCTACCCTACGTCCTAAGAAACCTGTCAAACGCCTTCAGCTTCTCTTGGCAAGTGGAGTTCATAAGAGGGCAATAAATTATTGTGATGACGGCAAAATGGCGTGCCCGTTTCTTATGACTTGCTGTATCATGGCTAATGGAAATCCGATATACAATACCGACTACGGATGCTGTCTAATTCCCAGCGCAGTTTGTTGCAGTGGCGGGATCCATTGTTGCCCGGCTGGTTACCACTGTGGTACAACCAAGTGTTACAGAAGTCATAAACCATTTTTTTCCGAAACCATAGGTTTCCATAAGATACTAGTAACTGATCTAGGTCAAACCCATGGGGTTTACACTTTTGTTTCATAATTTTTTAAATCAGAGGTTTTTTAATTCTTTTCGAAAGTACAGAAAAAGCGGGTTTATTTAAACTTTGCGATTATTTAGCCATCATACATGTCCACCATTAGGGACTGGATAATTATAATGGCCATGGAAATAAAACAAATGTGTTTTTAGTGAGAGGAAAGTATAGAGTGGAACTTAGAAAGTATTTGCTTCGCCATATATTTCAGCCAAATCCGCCTTGGCTCTCATCCGTCGAAAGTGAATGCAAGGTTACATAGCAGTCACGTGACATCAGGACGGTCACATGACGAGAGCATTGCATAATGGGGGTTTGGTAGTTCTAGCCTTCCATCACGGCTATGTGTTATTAGATGATAAACTTTCTTAGGGAAATATGGAGCCACCAGAGCATTATTTCTCCTGCCTGCTCTCAACAGAGATTTACTTTACGTTTGATTGATTTTGTCGTATTGTGTTAACAAGAAGACAAAACAAGGATCCGCTGGAATGGTGCCTTTAAAAAAAAGAAAATTAGGAGATATAAAAGCAAAAAAGTAGGACAACAACAAACTTGAAGAAACCTCAATACTTTGAAGCCCATGAATCATTCAACTCTCGGTCTCCTTTCTTTTTCGCACGGCAAATGCAATCTTTTTGTTTGTTTGCTAGTTAGAACGATTTTCGTATGACCTTGAAAAATGGTTTCGGTAACCTTCGTTTTCCCTCTAAGGAAAAACCCTAATATGGAGAAGGCATTGTTCGGTTGGCCCATAGTGTCGCATAACGAAAAAAGCGAGGTATAGATTGATTTCTAGAAAGTTCTCGGGCATGAAGATTTTTCACCCGAGCATTCGCTTAACCAATTAAAAGCCACGCGCATTTGTATCCGTGCGATAAACTAAGGGCCTGTTTACATGGGGGTGGGGGACCCCATGTAGGTGAGGTAACCTGCTTAGGTGGGTAACCCTCCTGTCCTTATAGTCTCTCATTTTAATTTTATTACGTTTACATAACAGGTGGGGTGACCATATGAGAGATTATATGGAGAGGAGGGTTGCCCCACCCAAGCGGGTTACCTCACCTACCTGGGGTCTTTCATCTCCATGTAAACAGGCTCTATTTCCGTT